AAGTGCCAAATCTTCACAGATCATAAGAGCTTGCAACATCTGTTCCATCAGGAAGATTTGAATATGCGTCAGAGAAGATGGTTGGAATTGGTAAGTGATTATGATTGTGAAATTTTGTATCATCCAGGAAAGGCAAATGTAGTAGCTGATGCGTTAAGTCGACAAGAGAAAAGTGGAACTATCAAAGCTACAGCTTTACGAGTTGAGTTATTACCCAGTATTCAAGAAAAGTTACGAGAATTTCAACATAAGGCAATGAAGGAGGATAAGATCAAACAGGAAAGATTGGGTGGACTAATATCTGATTTGGTGAGAGATGACAGAGAAGTTTGGAAATTCCAGAATAGAATTTGGGTACCATGCTATGGTGATCTCAGAAAGCGTATTTTGAATGAGGCTCATAAATCACGTTTTGCAATACATCCAGACACAAATAAAATGTATCGGGATTTGAAGCAACATTATTGGTGGCCAGGTATGAAGAAAGATATTGCTAATCATGTTGAACAATGCCTGACATGTCTTCAAGTAAAGATTGAACATCAGCGTCCCTATGGTAAGTTGCAATCTTTAGAAATTCCGGTTTGGAAGTGGGATCATATTACTATGGATTTCATAACCAAATTGCCRAGAACATCGAAAGGGTATGATGTAATATGGGTGATCGTAGATCGGTTGTCTAAGTCTGCACACTTCTTACCTATGAAAGAGTCATATTCGATGGAGAGATTGGCAAAGTTATACATTGATGMGATAGTRACTCGACATGGTGTTCCTTTATCAATTATTTCTGATAGAGATAGTCGTTTCACTTCTATGTTTTGGAAGAGCTTTCAGAGAGAAATGGGTTCACAAATTAAGCTAAGTACAGCTTATCATCCTCAGATTGATGGACAGAGTGAGCGCACTATCCAAACTTTAGAAGATATGTTAAGATCTTGTATCATTGATTTTGGAGGGTCGTGGGATAGTCATTTGGCTTTGGTTGAATTTGCATACAACAATAGCTACCACTCAAGTATTCAGGCAGCACCTTTTGAGGTTCTGTATRGGCGAAAATGTAGAACTCCATTGTGCTGGAATGAAATAGGTGAAAAACAGTTAGCTGGGCCTGAGTTAGTTCAGCAAACTGCAGATAAAATTGGAGTAATACGGGAACAAATGAAAGCTGCACAAGATAGACAAAGAAGTTATGCAAATAAACGTCGGAAGCCGATTGAGTTTCAAATAGGTGATAAAGTAATGTTGAAAGTATCACCTTGGAAAGGAATGGTACGTTTTGGAAAAAGAGGGAACTTAAGTCCAAGATATGTTGGACCATTTTCTATTATTGGAAGAGTTGGGGAAGTGGCTTACAAGTTAGAACTTCCTTTGGAATTAAGTGGAATTCATGACACGTTTCATGTGTCAAATTTGAGGAAGTGTCTAATAAGTCCAGATGTGGCAGTACCATTACCTGAGATTAAGGTAGATGAGAGATTATGTTTTGAAGAAACCCCTGAACAGATTACTGATTACAAAGTAAAGAAGTTACGAAACAAAGAGATTGGGTTAGTAAAAGTTCAATGGCGTTATCATAAGGGACCAGACGCCACCTGGGAATCATAATCGGAAATGAGGATGAAATATCCTTATCTGTTTACTCAATGGAATTCCGAGACGGAATTCTTTTAAGGAGGGAATATTGTAATATTCTGGTTGTTATATATATATATATATATGTGCGGTTATGTATGTATATGTGTAATATATATATATATATGTGGTAATTTAAAGTTTTTTTTTTATTTTAAATGAGAAAGGGGAGGTCGGCTAGAAAGCCGCCCACCATTTTGAAGTAGTATATATAGATTTTGTTTGAGAAGAGAAGGTAGACTCTTACTATATTTAGAAAGTTATTCTCTGAAGAATCAGAAGGATTGCACAGGAAAAAGAGGATTTCAAAGGCTTTGATTCTCGATTTCTAAAGGTGAGTGTATTAGAGCTTTGAATATGAATTATTTACATATAATTTGTAAAGCATTTGGAATTGGTTATTATGAATTCGGCTTCATATTATGTGAATTCTTGCTTAAACCGTTCAAGTGGTGTCCGGATTGATATCCGGATAATAAACCGCTCATGCCTTGTCCGGAGTCTTCCCTAAACCGGTCAAGGGGTGACCGGATATTGTTTAAACCGGTCAAGGGTTGTGCGGTGTATCGTCCGGTTTACTTTAAACCGGTCAAGGGTTTTGCGGTGTATTGTCCGGTTTACTTTAAACCGGTTAATTTTGTAAGTGATGTACTGTCCGGCCTTGTTATCCGGACAAAGATGTTAACTCAATTTCAAGTGTTAAAGTTGACCAGACTTGTTATCCGGACATGATTGACCGGACTTCAAGTCCGGATAAAGAGATAGAAAGTTTTTGAAATATTTTTGAGAGATGAAATGGCGGTGTAACCGCAAGAGAGATGAAATGGCGGTGTAACCGCGAGAGAGATGTAATGGCAGTGTAACCGCGAGAGAGACGAAATGGCGGTGTAACCGCGAGATAGATGAAATGGCGGTGTAACCGCGAGAGAGATGTAATGGCGATGTAACCGCGAGAGAGATGTATTAGCGGTGTAACCGCGAGAAACATAAATATGCTTATGTTTTAGAACAGGTTTGATTCTAAACTGATTGTTTGGAACGTATATTGTTTGTATGAGATTTATACACTCACTAGACCTTTTGGTCTAACGCTCAGTTGTTGGATTAACCTGTTTTGCAGGTCAGCGTACTTTGCAAGATAAGGGCAAAGGAAAAGTTTAAATGATGATAATTGATTGTTCATATATGTATTATAGATACATTTTGTTAGTCCATGTTTTGTAATAATACTGTTTTTAGTATTATGAGTATGATGATGTGAATTATGTGTATATGGGTTTACAAGGGTTGTTACAGAAGGTGTCATTTCAGAATGATATTGGAACATCTTCTTCTGAAAGTAACAAGAATGTTGAGTCACCAGTCCCTTATAACAAACCTATCATCATCCATGCACCCCCTAGTCAATCTTCTAAGAAACCAGTCATAGCCCCTGTTCCTCCTTATATACCTTTTCCACAAAGGTTGAGGAATCAGAAAGAGGAGTTGCAATTCAAAAAGTTTCTTGACGTGTTCAAACAGCTACATATCAACATCCCATTGGTTGAAGCTATTGAACAAATTTCAAGTTATGCAAAATTCCTCAAGGACATTTTGAGCAAGAAGAAGAAACTGAACGAATTTGAGACTGTGGTTCTAACAGAAGGTTGTATCGCCCTCCTTTCAAATAAAATTCCCTCTAAACTCAAAGATCCCGGGAGTTTCACAATTCCCTGTTCAATAGGTGAGAAAAAATTTGGAAAGGATTTATGTGATTTAGGTGCCAACATTAACCTCATGCCCTTGTCAGTATTCAATACCTTAGGCATAGGTGAGGCTAGACCAACCACAGTTACCCTTCAGTTAGTAGAAAAATCCATAGCTCACCCAAAAGGAAAAATTGAGGATGTACTAGTCCAAGTGGATAAATTCATTTTTCCCGCTGACTTCATCATTCTTGATTTTGAGGCTGATAAAGAGATTCCAATCATCCTAGGAAGACCATTCTTAGCAACCGGTAGGACTTTGATTGATGTTCAGAAAGGAGAATTGACTATGAGAGTGAATGATCAGGATGTCACTTTTAATGTTTTCAAATCCATGAAATACCCTGATGAAAAAGATGAGTGTTCTAACTTGAGTGTCATTGAGTCCTTGTGCCACAAAGAAGGAGTTAAATCTATGTTAGACTTAAGCAAGACTGAAGTTGTTGAGGAGATAAAACATGGAGAGGAAAGTGAGATCACCCTATTGCAAGACACCTTTGCTTTTGAGCTATTGGAAAGAGAGTGGAAAAACCCATGCCACATCTATTGAGTCACCACCAGGGTTCTTACACCCTTCCCAATCATCCATTCCTCCCACTTCACAACCAGCCACGTCCACCTCACCAAATCTAGCCAATTTACCCCCATGGTTGCTCAGATCAATCTTACCTTGTCCCACACCTTTTAGAACCATTAGACGTATCCAACAATCAGTATCCTTAACCCAAACATCCCCTCTATCTGCTGCCTTAACCCAACCAGCCACCACGCCCATTGTTCTTCCTACCCAAACAGTCCCTGCACCTACTGTTTCAACTCAACCAACCTCTCTACCTGTTGTATTAAACCAAACATCCCCTTTACCCACTATTCCTACCCAAACAGCCCCTCTACCTACTGTTTTGACCCAACAAGCCACTAGCCATACTGATATACCTACCCAAACATCCCCTCCCACTACTACAGCACCACCCCCTCTATTCCCACTAAACCAAAACCAAAAGCCCGTCGTCCAGCCACTAGATCAACGGAGTGTCATGTCACTAAGCGTATGACTAAAGAGGAAGGAGATGCCATTGATGTAGGGGCATATGTTCCCAAAGGTCTACCTAAACAAAAAGGAGACGGGCTGTGGACTCCTGATGAGGACATCCCATTGTCCCAACTTAGGAGATCCAAAAGACATCATGTAGAACCAAGCCCGCCCAAAAAGAGTACCCGCACTAGATGATTGGACAGCTATAGTGAGAGTAGACAAAAGCCTAGAAATTTTCAAAAGTTCAAGACTTTTTTGGGATTAGGAGAGAGAGGGTTTGATAAGAGTTGTCTTGAGACCTATCCATTTATCAATGACATTGTCATCCAAAGGGGATGGGAGGCTTTCGCTGCTGTGAGAGAGCCTTACTTCCACAAATGGGTCCAAGAGTTCTATGCCTTAGTTTCATCTACCCGCACTACCTCGGTTCATATTAGGGTAAAAAGATCTCTTACTCTTCACATGCTATCAATAATTTCTATGATTTGAGTGCACCTCCAGTTTGTGAGTATCGCAGGTTGTTACATGATCACACTGACGAAGAGTTGAAGATGGTGCTTACTGTCGTGGCAGAAGGAGCCACTTGGAAGTCACCCCAAAAGTGCAGTCCGCTTAAATTCCAAACCAATTTGTTGAAAAAGAATGAGGCTGTTTGGAACCACTTTTGTGATACTCTTTTTACCCAACCACACATGACTCAAGTACCTCATTAGACCGCATGATCTTACTTTATTGTATTCTTCCAGGAAATGCGGTTGATGTAGGGGCAGTCATTTCTAATGCCATTCAAGGTTACACATGAAAACTCATCGACTGACTCTACTTCCCGGCTTTGATACATGGATTGATGAAGAAGGCCAAAGTATCGGTACCACCTGGTGATGCTCTAACCACTAATACACTACCCATTGAGTGCAAGACGGTCGACAAAATCCGCAAGACCCCAAGAAGTGATCCCGGACAACCCTTTATTGTCTCGGACAGCAGCTACACAGACAATGACTTGATGCTTGAGGTCCAGAGATTGAAGGAAAAGGTCACCGCCTTAGAGACTACCTTGGATAAGACCACTCAAACACACCAAACCACTGTGGAGAAAGCTTTAAAGGCACATGAAGAGAAGCTTTTTGCAAAGATGGAAGCAAGATATGCACGACTCATGGCCAATTTGAAGAAGATGATTGTCGAGATGTCCTGGAGCACCGAAGACCCATTGATGGCACCTACTCCACCTAAGTAGACAGGTTTATCTATCTTCCTTTTAGCTCCAATTTACTTTTTTCCTTTATATTTTTTCCCTTTTCCATGAGTCTGGAAACTGTCTGTGTCGGTCTTTTTAGTGTTAGATTTTTTTTAAGATGGAAATTTATGGCCTAAACTTCACTACCACTGACTTGTGTTTATAGCTTGAGTAACTTAAAAGTGATGTGAGTTTGAGTGCTAATTTACATTGCAATACTAGAACTAGCCAACTCTTTTTCGGGACGCAACTTGATTTCAATTGTCACTACATAGGATATGATCTAGGCCATCTCTTCTCCATAACTGAGAAAAGCCCTTACACCCCTCTTGTACCCCACTAAGCCACATATATACATCACAATGGGGACATTGTTATATCTAAGTTGGGGGGGAATTTTGTCAAAAAGAGCAAAGCTCTTTCAAAAAGAGAGAGAGAGAAAAGCATTATAAAGCCAAAAAGCAAAAAAAAAAAAAAAGCAAAACTGCAAAAATGCAAAAAGAAAATAGCTACAAAAAGCAAAATAAATAAATGCTTATTCAAGAAAAAGGCAAAGTTATGTGAGAGAGAAAAAGCCAAAGAGAGAAACACAAAAAGTCCTTTTGATCCTAACAAATGACAATGTTTAAATATCAGATGAAGGAAAACTGAGGCTAGCATATGGTATATAAATGTGATGAGTACAAAAAAACTTCCACTTTAATTTATGAAAAGCTATTTATAACAAGAAAATGGTAGTCGTAAGTGTCGATGCTCATTTTTTTCCATCTAATTTGAGTCTTTTATTTGTCTTTTTATGTTGTTTGGGGACAAACAACAATTCTAGTTTGGGGGTGTGATAAGTATCAATTTATTTGATACTTTTACACGTTTTCTTTACTTTATTTACCCATTTTATTTTCCCAAAAGTCCACAAATTGATTCTTTTTGTTTTGTTTTTCTATCTTTTTATATCGGAGCTAAATTGATTTGATAAACATGTTTACTTCTTGGATGTGTGCTGATTTTTGGAAAAAAAAAGCCATGTTGATAGGTATTTGATTGAAGCATGCTACAACATGTGCTGCAGGACGATCCAGGTGCACTTTTGAGAATAGTACGACAATCTTTTGAGGTCAAATCCCCCCTTTTTGACAGTCCATCTCCTGCAGATTTTAAGATCTCATAGTACAAATCTAAGATCTGATTTTTGTTGTTATCTAGGTAGCATGGCTTTACCCATTGGACAATGTAAAAAAGTTGGGTAAACCCTTTATCCTTTGGTCCTTGCCCTCCCTTCTTCCACTATATAAAGGGGGGAGGCTTGACATTGTAAAAGGGAGTCAAGTAAGGAAGTCATTTGGAAAGTAAGAACTTTTGCAAGTAACTTTTGAAGTATTTCTTTTACATTTAAGTCTTCTTTTATCTTTCCTCTTTACATTTATTTCTTTTATTATCTTTTCTTCTCTTATGTTCTCCTTATTATTCTTTATTATTTATGCAATGAATATTATTAGTTAAAGTATTTTAAGCCTCTTTTATAATCCCTCTTTACATTTATTTCTTCTTCTTTCTTTTCTTCTCTTGTGTTCTACTTATCATGCTTTATTATTATTTATGCAATTAGCTTTTCTATTTCAAATATCGTTAGTCGCTTTTATAATTCCACTTAGCATTTATTTTTTCTACTTTCTTTTCCTTTCTTATGCTTTATTATTTACGCAATTAATTTTTCAAGTATGTTAGGCTAAAAATATAGCTTGGGTGTTGGGTGATGTTAAGAGAAAAACCGATTTCGTTTGAAGAAATATATATTATAAATCTTCACAACTACGTCATTCAAGTTTTTATTGCAAAAACATCATCCATGGACAAGTTGATCACTTGTTTAAAATGTGTTGGATTTAGAGATAAACCAACAAGCACACGTCAACTTGAATGATATGGAAGTAGGCTCGAGAGAGCTACTTAGAATTGAGGAGACTCATTTTCACTCCATTTAGCTTATAAAAGAAATAGTTTGAGCCAATGTCGAGACTCCAGCCTTGCATAGAGATATGAAGGCTTGAACTATGACTATGTGCCATTTCTACATCTCGAGAGAGTACCTTAAAGAAGCTATTAGTTGTAAAGACAAGTTATTTATAAAGCATGCTATAGAACMATGTTGTAGCATGCTGTCTACTTAAAAATCGGTTTAATATCTTAAAAAATCCCTACACCCTAAGCTTTCTTTTATCACTTGTTCACAACAGTAGTGTTTAACCAACTCACCACAAATATTTTTTCGAATTCACCATCTGAAATCATATCTTTATTTATACTATTAAAAAGAACTTTTATTTCTTTTTCTTCATGGACGATATTCGGTATTTTTACCACTTTTATACTTGTAAAAGACGATAGTGGATTAATGAGTGTATACTTGCACTAGTCTCCATTTGTTAGCAGTCTGAGAGATTTATTTTATATAATTCTCGTAACAGTAGTGCATGTTGAAGGCAATCCCATGGAACATCCGCAAGACAGAGATACTGCACTTGTCCATCCCATTGTGCTTGGCAGTCATGCAGCGGTTGATAATCTTAAAGAGCATGTACCATAACAGTGCAGATTTGTTGATCCGAGGCAAAGTCATCGAAGTCCTCTTTTCCCAGTTGCGAGGTCTTGTCTGGAAGTCCTAAGACGCGTCTTAGCTGCCTAAGTGTCAGCGTTGTCTCAAAATGGTCAATGTTGCTGTAAACTGGTGGTGTTCAGCTTCTGGATGGTACTTTAAGGTCTTCCAAAATTGTTGAAGGTAGATCATAGGGGTGTGGGCAGTTGTGGTGAGGGTTGTGTTTAGGGGATGGTCTTTGAGGATCTCGAGGATGATCCGATGATCACACCTCATCGAGTAGTCTAGAGCATGGTTGTCTGGTTGGATCTTGAGGTAATCGACTTTGATGATCAATTCGTCGTCGGGGTTGGTTGTGGTTACAGATGGTACCGAAGAGCAGATGGAAGGCATCGGGTTTTCTTCTTCGGACATATTTGCATTGTCGTTAGCCATCTGCAATGTAGACAAGTTAGCATAAAACCCCAGACACGAATAGATTTGAAAACAATTTCGGGAAATTTTTCGAAGAGAAAAAAACCTAAGTGTGAAACTTATCGCATGACAAAGGAAAGATGTCGCATGACACATCAAGGTTGTCGCATCATAAGGATGCGATAACCTTGTTTGTCGCATCAAAGGGATGCGATAAGGAAATTTTTCACATCACAATGATGTGATTAACAAAGGTTGTCACATCTA